AAAAAAAAAAGAAAAGAAAAAACTTTTTTGCAATTTCAAAATTATATATATGTGAGATTTTTATGGATGAAATAAATTTCATCCATTTTTCAAGTTTTAATTTGCATTAATTAGCTTATACTACAGTAATTTTATGCTAATTAACTTGCATTAATTTTTAGCTTACATTGATTAGCTTATATTTGTTAATCAAACATATGTTAATTTCAAACTTTTAATCCTTCAAAGTTAAACATGCTAAAGTAATTATAATCAAGCAATTTGAAATAAATGTTCCATCAGATAACATTACATCTAATTTTACTTGTATCTTAATAGCTTATGCTAATCAAATAATAGAATGTTACAAACTAATCTATCAATTTTTATCACTTAATCACTTCTCTCATCCCTATCCATTACGCATATCATTTATCTATATTACAAATTCTTGAAGGAATCTTCCATCACAAATTTTATCAATTTATATAAAATATTTTGTCACTCTTTTGTCACTATTTTGTCAAATATTTTGTCATTTTCATTCATTTTTCACTCCCAGTTATGAACAAAATGATTTGACACGACTTTTTTCGTCTTTTTTTTTTTTTTATTAATTTTCGTAAATGCTAATAGAATGTTATGAATGAATCTGTTAATTTTTATCACCTAATCTTTTATCATCTTATCATCTTAAAATGAAATATTTCATTTTAAGTTATCGCATTACTTGACTTTTACTGCTTATTTATTTTTATCACTGTTTTACTTTTATCACTTACTTCTTTCACTGCTTATTTATTTTTTTTTCTACCGCTACTTTCATTTATTACTTAATAATTTCACATCTTATTAAATTCTTTATATTCGATAAATGTTCAAATTTTTGTTTCAGAATTAAATAACATTTCATTCTTTGAATTCTTTCCCTCTTTGTGAAAGTTTCTTAAAGCTAATAAAAAATGATATGAATCCTCTGATTGTCAACAATCTACCAGTATTAAGTGACACTTTCGGATATTTCATTTAAAAATTCAAATTTATTTTCATACTTTGAAAATTTAAGTGTTAAACTTTATTTAAAAAGGAATTGAAAAACATTTACATATACTAATTGTATATTATAAATTGACCTCATTTACCTGATATCTTATTCCTTCTTTCTTTTTTTTTTTTCTAGGTGATATCTTGGAAGTACCATTCAAATATCTGCATAGTCCACAGATACTAAATCAACGTGATTTCATCATACAAACCAGCGAATTCCGATCATTGGGTGTCGGTATCGACTTTTCTATTCTTTGTGGAGGGTTTGTTTTCAAATTTAAAATTTATAATTAAACAGATAGCTATTATCCTTACCATTTAAATAATAATGTTTGATATTTTTTTTGTCAGAAAAATGAAATAATCCATTTATTTAAATTAAATTCTTAAATGAATCAATTGTTTCTTTATATCTTATCAAATTGAATTAATTGATTACATTAATCAAATGATATTAAAATATTATTAAATCTGATTTTTTTTTTGCTTTTTGAATATTAAATTTACTTTGTTTCATTTATTCATTTATCCAAATTACAGCTTCGTTTTTTTTTTCTCGAATTATTGATTGATTTAGATTTCTTCAATTTCAAAAATTAAATGTTTCTAGAAAGCGAGTACAAGGACGACAATGTCCAAATGTTGCAATAGGTGAAAAAATCGAATTTTTCGCGAAAGTATCATTGAACGAATGTAAATCAGGTGGTGATATTGCTGTTTCTATTGGCGCATATGGTTATCAGACTGTTTCCGCTTTGTATATCACACCTTCTTGTGGTTGTGAATGTGAAAAAGTACAGAATCAGGTAATTGAAACATTTTTTTTTTTTCCATTTAATAGATCATCATTATCATACCTTTTTTAGATATTGCAATCTTATTGCTTCTTTTTTGTTTTTTTTTTCCAAATTCCCTATTTTAAATATTTTTTTATGGAACGATAAAATATGTTATTACAACGAAAAACTTTTGCATTGACCTTTTGACCTTTTAATTAATGTAAAAACAAAATGTGTTTTGTTTGCGAATGAATTATTTATTTAATTTTCATTTATTATATTTATATTAATTGGTTGAAAATTTTTATTTTAGGAAAAGCAATCACCATTATGTTATGGAGCAGGAGATTTAATTTGTGGTGTATGTGAATGTCAACCAGGTAAAGGTGGAAGTCATTGTGAATGTGATTTGAAACAGCATGGTGCTTCATCAGCACAAGAATTGGAAAATAGATGTAGAAAGTAAGAATCAATAATTATTATCAATTATTTCCAATTTAAGTAATTAGAATTCAAAAAATATACATATATGTAATAATCGCATAAATATCATCGTAGTGTAGCATTTCATATTTCAAAAAATTCAAATTCATATTTAATTTCAAATTTGATTGAAAATAGGATGATAAAATATCCTACTCAATAGCTCAACAAGATAATCACATTGACAATATCAGACTAAAAATTAAACTTTACCCTCTTTTCAGGACTCCGAAAGATTTAATTTGTAGCGGTAACGGTCAATGTAAATGCGGTAATTGTGTTTGCAATGTCGAACATGTAAGTTTATTTAAACATTTCATCGATTTAATTTTACCACAAAATACGAATTTCAGGTTTTTTCTTTTTTTTTTATTTTAATATTAGAAAAAATATTGGAATGTAATGAAGGAAAATGTAAAATTTTGTGAGATATGCTAAATGCATAGTGAATGATCAGTTAATTGATAAAGATAATAAAATATTTTCTTTAAAATGATAACAGATAATTGATCTGATTAATTGACCTTTGATAAATTTATATAAACTATTATCAAATAATCTTATGCGTTAATTTTCATGTCAAAATTATTATTTCTTTATAATTAAGAAATTATAATTAATGAGTTTTTTTTTTCAGCCAATTAAATTTAGTAATTTTGATGGAATATGAGAAAATTTTTTGAGATATCTGAAATGTATTATAGGTTCGTGGAGATTATTGTGAATGCGAAAATATGTCATGTCCAACTTCTCAAGGTAGAATGTGTGCAGGTCAAGGTGAATGTAAATGTGGAAAATGTCATTGTGAAGAAGGTTATACAGGCGATGATTGCTCATGCGCTCTTGATACATCACCATGTCTTGAAGGCGGAGTAAGTTTTTAGGGAGAATTATGGGAATTTTTTTCATTCATATTAAAAATCTTCAAAAATATTCAATGAAAAAAAAGAAAAACGTTTATATTTGCACAAATGTTTTATATTATATAGTTAAAGGCATAGAAGCGGAATTGTCGCACTTATTTCATTGATATTTTTATGATTAGGTTTGATTTTTTTCGTAGAATTTTTCATATTTTAATATATTTTAACTTTATTAGCAGCTAGTTAAACGCATAGAAGCGGAATTGTCGCACTTATTTCACTGATATCTTTATGATTATTAACTTTGGTTTCTTTTTGTGAAATCTTTCAAATTTAGTTTATTTTAACTTTATTGGCAGTATCCCTAACTTTTAACTTAATTTTTCTTTTTGTTTTTTTTTCAGAAAATTTGCAGTGAACAGGGTAGATGTGAATGTGGAAAATGCGTTTGTCATGAGGGCTTCACAGGGTTAACTTGTGGAGTAGTAGTGGCTGAAAATGATGCCTTGGATGATGAGATACCGGAATCAACTGATTCCGGTGAACATGATGAAATGGATCAGGTATCAAAAGATGGCATAAATAATGTTGGATATGATCAATTTCATGGAGAAGATTTAGATGGAATAAGTGAAAATAAAATAAAAGAAGGTGATGAATATGGTGAAGCAATAGAAGGACTGGATGGACAAGATGATATGAAAGGTGAGGAGAGTTCAAAAATTTAATTATCTATTTTTAATTTTTGTTGATATTAATTAACATGCCAAGTTGTTTGTTTTTTTTTGTCAAAAAATGAAAGTAATTAAAAATTTGAATAATGGAATGAATTTATTATGTTGACATTAAGATTTCAAAAGTGTGACAAAAGAATAATTTTTGAATATCACGAAAATTTCATAAACTTTTTTTTATAGTTGGTGATGTATTACCATCTGCGAATGATGATAATGGTGATACGTCAACTGAATTAAGTGAAGCAAGAGCTGAAGCTGATAATGATGGTAATGGTGGTGAGATAATACATGAAGGACAAACTGCTGGAAATTTACGGATAGAAGTTCATTCACTCTTTCTTCCATTAATATTATTAATGATACTTTTTTGGCCTTAAATTCTTACCACTCTTTTATCGAATGAGTAATTTCCATTCGAAACTGATTCTCAATTCAACGATCTTTCAATATCCTAGTCTGAATTTCCTTTTCATTTATTGCTAATTTTGAAATTGCATAAAATTAAATGCCTTATTTCATTCCATCATTATTAATTAGCTCGATAATAAAGAGAGGAGGAAAAAGGTCAATTTTGAAAATTTCCATTTCTTTGAAGAAATTTGCATAAATGTCTCTCTTTCATTGTCAACAATTTATTATTTATTACTTTTATATTTGATTTCAAGAAATGAATTTCTTTTTTCACATATATAAATGTTTTTGTGCGATTTTATCCTTTTGTTTCTTCTCTTTTTTTATTTAAATAAACGGTGAAAAATTGAACATTTTTCGTTGTATTTGAAATATATATTCCATTGGAAAACATTTAGCTTTCATTGAATAGCAAAAATAGAAACAAATTTACGCATTAGCTAATAAAAAAATTGCTAATTTAACCAAGAAGAATCAAAGATTTTGATTGAATTTATCCTTGAAACAAATATGTATTGCTTCAAATTAGCCGCTTATTCGACCCTCAAAGTGATGCTAATAAACTGCCCTCTAAAATTATAATTTTTAATCAACATTGCTTAAAATTAGCTCATTTCTCCTGCTTCTTTTATGCCTTTTCATATTGTAATTGTTTCATACTTGGGGACATATATGACCTATCTCAGGTAGCATTTTCAAAATTTCTTCGATTAATATAAATTAAATCATTCAAATTGAGAGAGTCATATTTGTCATTTTGCATTTTATCATTCTTGATTATAGCTGCAATATTTTCAATAATTATTAGCTGTATTTTTAATTTCTTAACAAGTTTTTGAATTTTAATTGAATAATTTCATTTTTTTTCCACTCTTTTGTACGATTTTTTTTTTCTTTTTCTTTGCAAATTCTATTGCCACGATAGTTTTTCCAGTAAGTAAAAATATTAAAATCAATATGCTGAAATGCATAGTTATTCATTTTGTGATTAAATGTTTGTAATTGATTCTTTTGTATTGTCGCAAAATTTTGTCACCTGTCATTTTCAAACTTTTCAAAATGACATTGAATTCAACAAATGGCTTGAAGAAAGTATTTAATTATTTTACGACTTAACTTCAACATATTAAAATCGTATTGGATTTAGACAATTATTGTGCGTATACTTTTTTATGTGCCTTTTTTCGCTTTATTTTCTTTTAAGAAAGAGAAAATCGAATTTCATCCATTGGAATTTTTTTTGTAAAAATTTGATTTTTTTTTTTCGAAAATATTTATGGAATGAATCACTATTTTCTTTTTTTTTTTTATAGTTTCAAAAATTACTCATTCATTTCTATTCAATTTCATATGGGACATTTTCAGTTTGTGTCACATTTCAAATGCTGTTTAATTTGAAAATCATCATGCTTCTTTGAAATTGTCATCAAAAATTGAGACTGACAAACATAATCAAGTTTTTTTAGCAGTTCATAAATTGAAGAATATTGAGGTTGTAATGAAATCTTTTTTATTTGTAGATGAACTATTATGCTAATTTATTAATATCCCAGGTGGGATTCGATTTTAGGTTACTTATTTTTTCTGTCAATAGAATGCCACACAAGGCCAAACTAGATCATTAATCATTTTCTCACGGAATATCAATTCATCGCATTCAGTGATTTTACTCAAATACTCAAATACTAAAAATATATTTTTGGTTTGTTTTAAGTTTTCTATGACGATTTCTAATTAATGCTATTTCCCGCTAGTGATTTTCACTAATTAATTGAATGAAAATGATATATTATTCAAAAAAAATACCAGGCCTCATTTTGCGTTTTAGCACATTTCGTGTGAATTTTTTTTTTTTTTATTATTATTTTTTGCTGCAACTGCTACAGATAAGTAATACATAAAACGATGGATCAGTGCGCATGAAATTAATATTAATGCTATTTTAAGTTAATTAATTATGACAAAAATTTTTGAAAATTCGAATTATACTTGAAAAAAAGACCTTCGAAATTTGAATAATTTTGCGCATAAATATCAAATTCGTTCAAGGATTTCACTATATTATCTAAGAGAGAAAAAGTAAGAAAGAGAGGATGAAATTTGTGATGCCGAATGATATAAGAGGACAAATGTAATTGGTCGATTGAAGAAGGAAAATAATAATTATAAAATATGAAATTAATGGAATGTAATGGATAATGAAAGGAATTCAGGATTGAAATTATAAAAAAGTGATCAATTCAATTATTCAACCTTCCATTTAATAATCAAATCCTTTAATTACAATCAATTTAAAATCATTTCAAATGGATATCTTTCAGTCCAATGATTTTTCAAATTTAATTAAAAATTAATCTAACTGATTGAAAATAAAAATTAATCATTGAAATATATGATAATACACTTCTATAACAAGTCCTTTTTTTTTTTCCAAAAATAAAAAATGGCATTAAAACTTGTATTACTAAGCTTATTCTTATGCGAATGCTAATTAAAATTTCTTAATATTTTGAAAAATCTTCCCATTCATGTAAAAAATTTTAAAAATTTAATTTTCATTTCATTTTGTTTTGGCGTCACATTATATGTAATAGTAAAATATATTTTCATTTCATTGTTTAAACTCATTGATATGAGCAAAATTGCGCATATTTGAATAAAATCTTGCGCAAATGTCATAATTTTCTTATGAAATTGCTTTGATTTTTTCTTTTTCATCTTTTACCAAAAATTTAACAAAAATTATTTAACGAATATTTTGAAGCAATAAATGGTACATTTATTTCCAGTTGAATTTCAATCTAAAATTGAATTTTTTTTTTTGCTTTTCCTAAAAACTCCACAATTTTCATTTTTATTCTTATTTAAAAATGAATCATCGAAGAGAAATGCCTTTTGTTGTTCTTGTTTAAAAATGAATCATCAAAAAGAAATGTCTTCAAATTGCTTATTTTATAAATTACTTTTTTTTTTTTTTGCTGAAAATATCACTGCTTGCTTCATTCAATTTTGAAATTTCAAAATTGAAAAATTGGAATTTTAAAATCAAAAAATTGCCAAATACATTTTAATATGAGAAAATTAAAATTGAAAATATTTGAATATTTGTAAAAAGTGCAAGGTGCAATTATATAACGATCGAATCATCATCATCACTAAGAAGTTTTAAGTGCAACTAAGCAACCAATTGTAAAGGTTTGTCAACATTGAAGATTGATTGCATATGCATTTTTATTGTCACATAAATTCATGCTTGGTTTATTTTATGTTAAAATAAGAGCCAAAATAAATTGTATATGAAATGATAGCCAAATAAAGTTAGGTTAAAAGAAGTTTGATTCGAAAAATTTTCAACTAATTAATGGATTAGAAAAAAAGAATAAATTAATTTAAGCATTTCCTTTTGAAAATTCTTGAAATTATTTTCAATGATAAGCAGCTTCTTTTAACTTTATTCAATTCCAAATAACTATAAGTAATCATTTCATTTCAACATATTTTACTGCAAATATTGTTACATATATCATTTAAATATTACATATAAAGATAGATCTAAATTTTTTAATTAAAAAAAAAACAGTAAAAGATTATTATTCGATATATTGTAAAATAAACGTAAAGTAAATTATTTCAGAAATAAATTTCAATCGTTTTATTTATTCGATAATTAAATTCAAATTTAATTATTTTATGAATAAGTAAATTTTAGAAAGAATTATAATGCAACAAAATTTGTACTATAATTTGAATCTATGAAACGTTGCTAAGAAAGGGAAATTTGAAAATAATAATCAATATGTTTGAGCATATGTATTATTTAAATAATGCTGGTGGTGGTTGGTTGGTTGG